CGGCCGCGCAGGTGAGCGGGGCAGGTGCGCGTGGCGGGGGGAACCCGGGTCTGTCCTTCCCAGCCTTGACAGGTCTGTGGTTCTTTTCCCCTGCTGAGCTGTGTCCCAGCTGTAGGGGAAAGTACCCTTCCCAGCACCTCAGGAAGAGCAGAACAACCCTTGCTTGCACTGCAGCAGGTGATGGCCACAGTACAGCAAAGCCCCTGACCTCATTCACTAGGGTCATTTCCCAACTTTTCCACCCCACTGCTGGAGGCAGGGGTGGCCCTGGGGTTACCTAGGAATAGCAGGGCTGGAACACTCAGCCCCTGCTCTCCCTCACCTCAGCAGGCTGCAGCTCCTGTGCAAACAGCCTGCCCTTTGTTCCCCACTTTGCAGTACTCAGCTCCCCCAAGAGAGAACAGTGTACTCCTGCGGAGTTTGATGGCTTTAATGGTACTCAAAGAAATCAGTAAGGGTACATTTCAGCTCTGAAATACAAGTGAAAAAAAATGATACAATAGAATGTTTTCTGTACATTTCTTACAAAATAGTACATCCGTCCCACCCTGAAGAGGTACTTGACACCTCCCACTGAGCTCACACACTGTGCAGGATGTGGAGCTAAAAGGAAAGCTCCCCTTGGAGTCTGGGCAGACTCTTTTAGGGTAGTGGTAGATAAATACAAGGGGTGACACACAGGGACGTTTCCACCCGGCAGGCCCAGGCACAAGTCCCAGAGTGCTGAACCCACTGTGCCCTTGTGGCAAGTACCAGCCTCACTCTGCTGGCACTCAAAGTTCTTGGCTGCTCTCTGTTCTGGGGAAATGGCTTTTCCCACCCTGGTCTGGCATCTTTCCTGTGCCTGGCATCACCTCCCACATCCCAACCCGTGCAGCGTGTGCCCAGGTCGAGCCCTGGCGAACCCCCCTCCGCTTTATCCACAGTGTCTTCTCAGATAGAAGTCAACCAGGCTATAGAGCAAATAAATTAACCCCCTTCTTCCCCCAGCCCCTCCCCAGCCCCCCCAGCACCTACAAAGCTGTGGGGCACCTGTCAGTACCCATCCTGGCAGTCGTTGTCATCGTAGTCAGCAGCAGGCTTGTTGCGGAGGGCACCCACGCGCCGCCTGCGGCTCTCGCCTTCCACGGGA